CATTGTTGCTATTGTATTGAACTCAAGTGTGATAAAAACAGTGACCTCTAATGAGGCATTCATTCTCCTGGAAAATGATTAGCAATTGAGTTCACTGCATTAACAGCACAGGGGGAATACATATAAGAGGACCTTGCCTCCGGAAACCCTGTGAACCTGGAGAAAAGATGAAAGTTATACAAATATACAAATGTTCAGGTCTTTTGTTAATGTGTTACCCATGACTCCATGGCACTTAACAACAAGGGCTAACTGTAGTGTTAAATATTTACACTTAGGATAAAGGACTACTAGCACAAGAAAATATAGTTCATCACATTTTTTTACTGGGTTTTATTTCATCCCATATGTGTTAACTTCTCTTTTTAAAATTATGAAGATAAGACAGAAGAGTTTAAGCATTTTCAGCAAATTAGTGGCTCCTTAAAGATTGCACTTTTGCTGTTGATATCTTTTCTAAACTCTACTGAATGATGTTAGTAATCAAAATTAGAGTGAAGTGTAAATGACTTTAAATATATTTAAAATTTCCAACCTTTTTATTAAGCAAAGACTGAAAAATTATGTCTACCCTTTTCATCTATATAGTTTTAATTGGGATGGGGGATCCTTTTAAAATTAATAATTATTTAGCTGGTATTTCTTTGGTGCTAGTTCTGACGATACTTGATGTTGTTAAGTGTCGTTGAGTCGAGTACAACCCATAGCGACCCTATGAACAACAGATCTGAAACCTGTTCTATCCTGCACCATTCTCACACTTCCTGAAATGCAAGAGCGCATTGCAGCAGTCGGCATCAAACTACCTAGTTGAAGGTCTTCTTCTCCTTCCCTGACCCTCCACCCTTCCCAGTCCTTCTCCAGGGACTAGCCCCTCCTAACAGCATGCCCAAAGTATGTGAGACAAAGTCTCATTGTTCTTGCCTCCAGTGAGCATTCTGCCTGTACCCTCTACTAGACATATTTGTTCTTTTTGCAATCTATGGTATGTTCAGTGCTCTTCTCTGACACCACACCTTCTTTGGTGCTAGTTCTGAGGAGACTTGATAAAAACAAGAATCCCTAGTCTTTGTATCCCCATCTTTCAGAATAAATGAAACCTGGTAATGGATTTTTTGTATCTTCTAATACTGGCACTACTGATGAGATACTTCTCCAAGCCCTCCCATCTTAACAATGTAGTAGTACTCATTGCTTGTTTCTGCATTCTTCTACACTGGCACTCTAAAAAATAAAATCCAAACAATCCATGAGAGTTTTTTTAATAGTTTTTGAAGGAGAATAATGATATATTCCTTATTCTGGTGGCATTTTATTAGCAGGTTCAACCCTTATTTATGTTTTATGTGGAAATAATGATCAGTGAGAATGCAGGATAAATGACTCATGTGAAGAGCAGGCCTGTTTGTTGTATTTAATCTAAAGGCAAGTCTGCTCATGAGTTTTAAGGAGCCCTAATAGCACTGTATGCAAAGAGAATACAGCCCTAACACACTCCCTTCTTAATTTTAAAACATGCAGTGTTCTCTTCCTCTATTCACACAGTAGCCTCCTGGTTCAGGTACAGGTTTCACATGAGCACAAAAAAGTGCTCTGGAACCCCCATTCTTCTCAATACCAGCCACAACTTTAATGATCCACACAGTCAAAAGCACAAATAGACATTCTTCTGATATCGCTGGTGCCACAGCCTTTTCTAAATCCCATTTGAACTTCTGGCAGTTGTCTATCTATGTACAGTTCCAGCTGTTTTTGCATGATCTTCAGCAGTATTTTGTTTGCATGTGATATTAATGACATTGTTTGATAGTTTTCACATTCAGTTGGATCACCTTTTATGTGAATGGGAACAAATATGGACCTCTTCCAATTCATTGGCCAGACGTCTGTCCTCCAAATTTCCCGGCATAGACTGGTGAGCTCATCCAGAGCTGTATCTGTTAATTGAAATAAATCAATTGGTATCCCATTAATTCCTGGGGCTTTATTTTTTGCCAGTGCCTTCAATGAACCTTCCACTTCCTCCTTCATTACCAGTGGCTTCTGTTCATAGGGTACTTCCTGAAATTTTTCCGTGTCAACCAGTTCTTTCCGGTTCACTGATTCCCTCTATCTTCTTTTGATGCTTTCTGGGTCATTCATTGCCCATACCATCTTTCAGTATTGCCACTTGAGGCTTAAATTTGTTTTTCAGTTCTCACAGCTTGAGAAATGTAGAGCAGATTCTTCCCTTTCTATTCTCCAATTCCAGCTCTCTGCACATTCCCTAATAATACTTTGCTTTGGCTTCTTAGTGTTCCAGTGCAATTTTTAGAGTCTCTTCTGTATTCAGTCTGTACACTGAGCAAATTCTTGGAGAAGCTGGACTCTATGAAGAGGAATATGGCATCAAGATTGGAGGAAGACTCATCAATAATCTGCATTATACAGGTGACACAACCTTGCTTACTGAAAGTGAGGAGGACTTGAAATACTTATTGCTGGAGTTCAAGGAATGCACCTTCGGTATGGATTCCATCTCAATGTCATGAAAACAAAAAGTCTTAACCACTGGATCAGTAGGCAACATCATGATGGATGGAGAAGAGATTGAAACTCTCAGTAGCTTCATCTTGCTTGGCTCCACAGTTAACACCTTTAGTACCAGGAGTCAGGAAATAAGGAGATGATTTGAACCAGGAAAATCTGCAGTTAGGTACCTCCCCAAATTATTGAGGAGTAATGATCAGTTTGGGGACTAAGGTGTATCTCATTCAGGCCATGGTATTTCTCATTACTTGCTGTGCATCGGAGAGCTTAACAGTGATAAGAATGATCGAAGAACTTAAGCCTTTTAAGCTGTAGTGTTGGAGAAGAGCACTGAAAATCCCATGGATGGTCAAGAGAACCAACAGATATGTCTTGGAGAAGGTGCAGCTGGAGTGCTGTTTGGAGGCAAGAATGATGAGGCTTTGCTCCACATACTTTGGCCATGTTGCTAGAAGGGACTATTCCTTGGAGGAAGGACATGGTGCTGGGAAGAGTGGAGGGTCGCCAAAGAAGAGCTAGGTGGGTTGACACAGTGACTGCTGCAGTGGGCTCTTGTATGTCAGGAAGTGTGAGAAGTGATGCAGGATAGAACAGAGTTTAGATCTTATGTTCATAGGGTTGCTTTAAGTCGTTCTGACTCAGCAGCAACTAACAACAACAGAAAGTGGCACTGTAGGTAGAAGCATTCAGCTGCTAACCAGAAAGTCAGCAATCCCAACCCACCAGCTGCTCTGCAGGAAAAAGATGAAGTGGTTTGCTTCTGTGGAGATTTACAGATTTAGAAACCTCACTATGTGCAGTTGTTTCTCCTTTAGGATCACTGACTCTCACTGGATGATAGTCATTGGGGCTCATAAGGGAAATATTTTACAGACCAGTATTCTTGGAATTCAATCTTTCCGATCTCTCAGTATTTGTTGTTATTTTTCAGGGAACATTAAGCATTTTGGAAGAGGAAAACCATATTAAAGATGTCCTATCTCGAATTGTTGTAGAGATGATCAAGCGAGAGTGGCCACAGCACTGGCCTGACATGCTAGTAGAATTGGATACACTTTCCAAACAAGGGGTATGAATTGTGCTTCATTCAGTATATAGTTCTTGACCTTTAGGTTTTTGGTGCTGTTTTGTGAGAGGTGGGGGCCAGAGCCAGTGTTTTGATTTTTTTAACTTCTTTATTTCCTTTGGTAAAGGAAACACAGACCGAATTGGTGATGTTCATCCTTTTGCGGCTGGCAGAGGACGTCGTGACCTTTCAGACACTTCCCCCTCAGAGAAGACGGGATATCCAGCAAACACTAACCCAGAACATGGGAAGGATCTTCAGTTTTCTACTTAACACACTTCAAGAAAATTTAAACAAGTACCGACAAGTGGTAAGGGACACCCTCCCCCCGGACAGTCCCATTTCTTATTGTGAGTGATGTTTTTCCTTTGTTTTAAAAAAATGCTTTAGCAAGGACCTATGCTGTCTGTTTAGCAAAAGAAAAGCACATTTTTTAAGGAAAAAAGTAATAGTCATGGGGAGAGAGAACTGTCTAAGAAGCATTGAATTTCTTTGCTAGTGAGGAATATAATCCTCCCTTTTTTATTATTGAACTTACTGTTTTTTAATTAAATCTCTTTGGTAGAAGTAATTCCTTTTAATAGTAAGAAAGCTTGATATTTCAAGGCCTGGATTCCAATAGGTCACAGTAGTATCCTTTATAATTGTGACAGCTCGGATTTCTTTTGCAGTAGACAAATGTACGTCAAGTTTCTTAATCTTGACTGTAGTAGTTCCTGGTGCTTTTCACTCTTCCCTTTTCTTCAGGAGAAAAAAACAAGGTGTTATCTTTCCAACTGTTGTTTAACATGTTAACAGAGCCCCTGCAGAGGGAGGTAGCTGGAAAGTTAATCTAGTGTAAAGATTCTCAACCTGGAGCAGCTTTGCCTCAAGACAATGCTGGGGGCATTTTGGTTGTCACACTTGGCGATGCTGCTGGCATCTATTAGGGATAGATCAGTGGTGCAACTAAATATCCCATAGTGTGAAGGACAGTCCACAAAAAATTATCTAACCTAAAATAGCACTAAGGTTGAGAATTTCAGATCTGGCTTTCTCATAAATATTTGTTACAAAAAGTAAAATTAATACAATGGGTTCTTTTTATGTTTGAATCCCCTTAGTAGATTTATCTTCACAGAAAGACTAGGTACTAACAGCACCTACCAGATTATAAGGAAAAAAAATATGAACTGTTAGATGGTGGTGGGGGGAAATGCAAAGCCAGTGCCTTATTAGGTCATATACAGCTTGGCACTTGATATGTTGTTAACAAAACAGTGCTACATGTCAGCAACAACTGTCTGTCCCTGTTTCACAGATGAGGAAACCAAGGCTCATTGTACTTAGTGAAGATCCTCTGTATAATAAGCAGTTAAACTGGGACTTTAGTCTTATATGTTCCCCAAAACATAAGATTCTTTGAAAAATACAGTCAAGTGTGTTTGTGTATTGATGATGAGATGAGGATTCTTTTAGTTTAACTCGTAGAAGAAGGAGAGCATTTGCCACATCCTGTGGCGATGAGGACCACACGTGCTCTTGCCTTCTGTTACATGGACCAACTTCTTAGCGAAATGATGGAGCCGCTAAGATAGGATAAAAGGGAGCAGCTGAATAGTGGCATGTATATACATACACATGTATATTAAAAAATCCTTTTGATTGGGAAGTTTAATGTCCAAAGGACAGTATTTCTTTCAGCTTTGCAGGATGTCAGATTGTCTATTTTCTCAGAATAACAAATTCATCTTACCTGAATAGTTAAGAAATTACTTAGAAATTTATGAAAATTCATATGATATTGATAGAATAAAAATGTGGTGCTGTAAACATTTTAAAGTTTGTTGGCCTTGACCAACGTGCATTAGCCTAACTTGACAATATTTGCAACAGTATAGCATTAAATTTTGTGACCGTCATTATTTTCACATACTTTGAGGATTTGGGGGTTTTTTGGTGGTGGGTTGTGTTGTGGGGTTTTTTGTTTTTTGGTTTTTTTTTTCTGCTAGTTTATTTACAAAATTTGAATAACATTGTTTTGAAGAACAAATTCTTTCAATATCCCTCACCCCCCTACCCATTTTGTCCAAATTGTACAACCCCATAATTAATCTCCCCTCCTCCTGCATATCCATATCCCTCTGCTTCCAACCTCTCCCACCCCTCTTGGATCCTTATATTCATTCTACAATAATGGTTTTATACAATATTTATCCTTGTGGGACAGAGTTAGTTCACTCAGCATAATGCTCTCCAGTCCCTACCAAGTTAGGTAATAATTTACAAAATCATTGCTCCTGTGTGCTGCATAGTATTCCATCATGTGAATGTACCCTACTTTCTCGATTCATATGTTTGTGATTGGACATTTGGGCTGTTTCCATGTTCTTGTGATGGTGAATAACGCTGCTATGAACATTGGTGTACAAATCTCCATTTGTGCCTCAGTTCTCATTTTCTCAAGATATATTCCAAATAATGGAATAGCTGGGTTGTGTGGAATTTCTTTGTTCAGCTTTTTGAGGAAGCACCAAACTGCCTTTCAGAATGGTTGTACCATTTTACAATCACACTAATGATGTATAAGAGTTCCTTTCTCACCACATCCTCTCCAACGTCTATTACTTGCTGCCCTGTTAAACTTTGTCGCTGTGACTGGAGTAAGATAGTACCTCATTGTAGTTTTGATTTGCATCTCTCTTACCAAGCTAAGAAGGGCAAGTCCAAGGTATAAAGAGACTGCCAAATACAACCACAGTCAAAAGAGGATAAAATCGATGCATGGACCTTCTAAAGATTAAATACTTTGAAGTTTTGTCCCAGAAATTTAGCCTGGAGTATGGTTGAAGCAGGACAGGGACTCTAGCACACATTAGACACCTGCCGACCTTGATCTTCTTTCTTAGCTTTGGTCTTAGTTCTCTCTGTCAGCTAAACCAGGAGGCCACCCAGGACCAGGACCAAAGCACATCATTTGCTGCTCTGCATGCTACCAGCATCTTCTAGGTTTGCTCATCATTCCTTCTCTGTTTAATTTATTTACTTTCCCAACTAGGGCATGAGTTGAGTGATTAGTAGAAAGTGAAGGAATAGATTTACTCTCCCTGTCTCATCAGTCTTGCTCCTAGACTGGTTTGGGGGCCGTGAGGGGACTGAAGTACAGCATTGATGGAGGGTGGGCTTCAGTGTTGTCACTTAGCTCCATTTCCCTCCTTGGGCACATGAGTAAGTGCTCCATTTGCACTTCAACTTGGCTACTGCAGGTGGAAGTTTAATGGATTCTCTTGACTAAAATTAGTTTTTTAAAGTTGAGAGAAGGGGTTGTAAAACAAGCCTTTATGATCCTAATAGTAATAAGTTTCTAGGTGCTTCTGAAATTGTCACTCCTGCTTACATTAACTGCTTTGGGGACCTACTGTTAATTTTCATTTTAGCATTTCCTGGAGAAAAGATTTTACATGTTTATAAGTTATAAACATTATGTGGCATCATTACAGAAATTGAAATAGGATAAAAACCACCCATAATTAACACAGTACTTACTGAATAGCAATCATTTTTATATATTTCGTATGCGGTGTTTATTGCATATTTCTCCTCATTATGCCCACACATACATACATGTAAATTGTATGCATGTAAATTTGTTTCTAGTAACATTGTTATCTCATTATATCCGTGCTAGTTAAAAGTTTCTTTGTATTATAATATGAATAAATGGCAATGACTTTGTTTCTACTTGTATGTCTTAGGTACTAGCAATGTTGAACCTTAGTCATTGTTCATGTACTGATTATATTTACAGACTGTGTATTGAGACTGTCTGTTGTTTTAGTGTGCTGTAATAAATTTATAGAAGCTCTTAAAGTATTAGCCTTTTGTCATATTGCAAAATAGAATATGTTCTCTTTAAGGAAATAGGAGTTAACTTCATATGCTTTTCCAAGACTAAAACTTGCATGCATTTTTGAAAGTTAGTCAAAAGTCTTGTTTTTCACGGGTTGGGAAGGAATTATTAACCTTTTGATAAGGAATTTTTAACCTTTTGGTAATAACTAGTCTTTCGTTCATTTAAAAATTTATTTTAATGCTTCCTTTCTTTCAGAAGACAGATACTTCCCAAGAGTCTAAGGTAAGAGTTCTGTAGGCTTAGGAGGAGACATTTTTGGGAGGCTCAGGTGCAGGAATGCATAACACCTATCAAGCCCGCTGCCGCTGAGTTGATTCTGACAGCATCTCTGGGGCAGAGTACAGCTGCCACATAGCATTTCGAGGGCTGTAAATCTTTTCAGTGACAGATGCACGTCTCTCACCCAAGGAGAGGCTGGTGTGTTTGAAACTCCAACTTTTCAGTTAGAGCCTTTAACCATTCTACCACCAGGGCTCCTTTACCACTTCAACCAACCAGTTCACTGCTGTCAAATCAGAACTGATTTATAGCTGACCCTCCTGGGTTTTCAGAGGCTCTAAATCTCAAAGGATTAACTCTCTTACTCTCACAGAGCGGCTGGTAAATTCAAACCATCTGCCTTTGAGTAAACATGTTGTTGTTGTGTTGTGTACCATCGAGTCAGAACCAGCCCGTAGCTGACCCTCCAGCAGGTTTTCAGAGACAGTCAATCACACAGCAGGAGGTTGCCTTTCTCCTGTCAAGCAGCTGGTGGATGTGAACTGTGATTTTGGGATTGCCCCGCAGCTTCTTAGCCCTAGGTCACCAGAACTCCTTTTGAATACACCTAGAGGAGGATTAAAATCAACCATAGTAGAGGGGAGATAAAATGACAATATTTGGGATTTCATAAAAAAAGAAAAATTTAGGGGAGCTCTGGTGGCCTAGTGGCAAGAAGCTGCACTGCAATCCCAGAGGCGCATGGTTCGAATCCACCAGATGCTCTGCCGGGGAAGGAGGGACAATTCCCTCCTATACCAGTCAGATCTGATTTGACGGTACACACAAATAATAAAATAAAAATGAAAAAAAGAAAAATTTCTACATATGCCAGCACGGTCTTATTGATACATGTTGAGAATGCATGTGTTTGTGAAATGATTGTTAACCTTTGAGTCCTCTCTCAGTGTCTGTCACTTCACTGCATTTTTCTAAAAAAAAACCAAGAACAAGAAAATGGAGATGTTCTTGTGTGTGAGAACTTAATGTTCAAAATTTGTTTCCTTTATACAGGCTCAAGCAAACTATCGAGTAGGGGTTGCAGCACTGAACACTCTTGCAGGCTACATTGACTGGGTATCCATGAATCATATTACTGCTGAAAACTGTAAACTCCTGGAGATGTTGTGTCTGCTTCTGAATGAACAGGAACTTCAGTTGGGAGCAGCTGAGTGTCTCCTCATTGCAGTCAGCAGGAAAGTAAGTTAACCACTACAAACATGGATGTGTTTTGTCCTCAGAGTCCTGGTCTTGTCTGAGTTCTCTAGAAAGGCAAAACCATATTATGAAGCTTAGAGACCAGAGATTTATTTCAAAGAAATATTTTTTTTCTATAGTTATATTTTATTAATTTTCATAAACATTTACAGAGATTTTGGGTTTCCATTCATTCACCGCTGCACCATTCTCTCTACCCTCCTCCCAGTTTGTTCTTGTCCAAATGCCACAGTGCTTGTCAAAGCCAGTTCTGATTAATCTTCTTTGTCAGTGTGTCCTTTGCCATTCCCTATCACTCCTCCCTGAGAGAGACTTCACCCTGATTCATAAGGAAAAGGGGATGGCGTATTCTCTTAGCTACTTCCTGCTGAAAAGGGACGCTGTGGGTTTCAGGGTGAAGATCTTCTCTCACTACTCTAAAGGGCCCCTTTGGCAGTAGGAAACACATAGACTATTATGGAGATTGATTTTGGAATTTAGATGCACTCTTATTAATTGTGCTTGGCCATACATGTTCATATTCTTGAAGATGTATCATGGGGGTGTTGCAACCTAGAAGACACAAATTTGACTAACAAGTTATAAGTACATGCGTCAAAAATTATGGAAAAGTAAAAGAAAAGATTCTTTCATTGTTCCACAAACCCCCCCCCAGGTCCCCTCCACCATGCAGCCCTCACTCTAGACTCCTGTGATGACAGAAACACTCAGTTATATATCTCTTTTAAACAGTTCCCTCCCTCCTCCGCCTCAGTGCAGCACACATCATTGAACCCATCTTACTCAGTCTCTCCCCAACCCCAAGGACAGTCCCATTCTACAACAGTGGCATCATGTAATATTTGTCCCTTTGTGACTGGGATATTTCACTCAGCATAATGTTCTCCAGAGTCAACCATTTTGAATAATATTGCATGAGTTCCTTTTTTTTTCAATGCAGCATAGTATTCCATTGTGCGAATATACCACAGCTTCTCTAGCCATTCGTTTGTTGATGGGCACTTAGGTTGTTTCCAACTCCTTGCTATTGTGAACAAAACTGCAATAAACATGGGTGTACATATATCTGCTTGGATGTCAGCTATGGTCTCTTCAGGGTATATTCCCAGTAGTGGAATTGCTGGGTCAAATGGTATCTCTATTTGCAACTTTTTGAGAAAGCGCCATACTGCTTTCCACAGGGGTTGCACCATTTTACACTCCCACCAACAGTGAATCAGGGTTCCAGTTTCTCCACAACCTCGCCAGCATTTGTTGCTTGCTGTTCTGTTAAATTTTGCTATTTTGACTGGGGTGAAATGATATCTCATAGTTGTTTTATATTTCAAAGAAATATTGACGTGTTTATGGAGGCATCTGGGGATCCAGAGTTCAGGTTGTCAGCCAGCAGGCAGGATACACAGCTGCTGGCTTTGGAGGCTACTGGCTTCAGAGGCTGACGTTTCTAGAGGTCATTGAGAAACAAGGTCACAGGTGGCTACCTTTGAATGCCAAAGTTAGCAAATACAGAAGGCCACTGGCTTAAGACTGCAGACCATAGCCTGTTAGCTATGATGGTGGTTTTGTTAGGTATCATCAATTCATCTAGGACTCATGGTGACTTTAAGAACAACAGATCTGGACTTTGCACTATCCCCACCATCTCTGATGTTTTTGAGTCCTGTCAGTCCATCTTAATAAGAGTCTTCCTCTCTTTCTCTGACCCTCCATATTTCCCAGCATAATGTCTTTTTCCAAGGATTGGTCCCTTCTAACAATTTATACAATGTATGCGAGATGAAATTTTAACATCCCTGCATCAAAGTAGTAACTTGGTTGCACTCTGTCCAAGACAGACTTAATTTGTTCTTCTGGGAGTTCACACAATATTCAGTACTCCTCACTAACATCACAATTTAAAGGCATCAGTTCTTTGGTCATCCTTATACATTGTCCAACTTTTAGATGCATAGGAAACAATTGAAAACACCCTGTCTGGGATCAGGTGCACCTTAGTCTTTAAACTGACATCCTTGCTCTTTAGTATTTTGCAGAGGTCCTTGGCAGCAGATTTTCCCATTTCAGGATGTCTTGATTTCTTGACTGTTACCATGGATGTTGATTGTGGATCCAGGTACAGTGGCGTAATTTACCGATCTATCTTTTCTCATGTATCATAATGTTACTTATTGGTCCAATAATGAGGATTTTTGTTTTCTTGATATTGAAATTCAATCCATATTGAAGGGCAGTAGTCTTCTGTAGCAAGTGTTTCCAAGTCCTCTTCACTTAAGGCAAGCAAGGTTGTGTGATCTGTATAATGTAAGTTTGTTGATAAATCTTCCTCAGGTTCTCATGTTACATTCTTCTTCATGTTGACCAGCTTCTCTAATTAATTGCTCAGCATACAAATTGGCTACAAATAAACATCTTTCTGGCATTCTTCGCTTTTACCCAAATCGTATTTGACATGAGCAGAGTTATCCTTCATACCCTCTTCTGAATCCAGCTTGATTTTATTGTAAATTCCCTATTGATATATATATTGTTCTAGCCATTTTTCAATAATCTTCAGTAAGATTTTACTTGTATATGATACTTTCAGATGATTTTGACATGATATTGGATCACTTTTTTAAAAAAATGAGAACAAATACAGATTTCTTTCAGTAAATTCCACTTTCTTGGCATAGACTAGTGGGTAGGCCCAGGGGGGCATCTTTATTGAAACATGTTAGTTGGTATAAATGCCGTACATTCCTGAGGCCTTATTTTCTGTGATTGTCTTCAGTGTAGCTTGAACTTCTTTCATGACTATTGGTTCTTGATCAGATGTTCCTTCCTGAAATGGTACAGTGTCCATTAGTTCTTTTTGATACAGTGACTGTGTTTTCCTTCCATTTTGATGTTTCCTGCATCGTTTAAGATTTTGCCCATGAAATTCCTCAGTTTTGCAAGTTGAGGCTTGGATATAATTTTTTTTTTCAGCTTGAGAAATGCCAAACAAATTCTTACAGTTTTCTAACTCCAGTTCTGTGCACATTTCTTTAAAATGCTTTGTCCTCTGGAGCTGCCCTTTCAGGTCTTCTATTCATCACTTCTCTTTGTTTTGGCCTCTCTACATTTAGTGCAATTTTCAGTTTCTTCTGACATCATTTTTTTGCGTATCCATGTTCATGGTAGTATCATTCACAATAGCAAAGAGGGAAGCGGCAACAAATGAACAGATAGAAAAATTGTGGCACATTTACACAATGAAACACTTCACAATACTAAAAAACAATGAAGTTATAAAACACTACAAAACATGGATGAGTCTAGAAGACATCATGCTGAGTGAAATATCTCATTCACAAAAGAGCAAATACCTGCATAACACTGCTGTTGTAAAATAGGACTGACAGGGAGGTGGGTGGAGGAGAATAGGAAGAAAGTGTGTAGATAGTGAACAGTGCATTTTAACATAAGGGAAGAACTGAAAATATATGATTAGACATGTATTAACAACAATCTGGAACTAGAGGTGCATTTCAAAGAGGTGTGGGGAGGGAGGGAGGGAAATGTACTACAGTGAATGAATGAAAACCCAACCTTTCTGTAAACTTTTGTTAAAATCACAATAAAAATATATGTTGGAATTTTTTTTAAAAAAAAAACACACAAATACTGCATAAGACATCCTTTCTGGTCTTATCCTTTCTCCTCTGTCTTTGAAATGGCCATTTGATTTCTTCATGGGTGGTATTTTTTAAAGCCTGACACAGATCTGACAATAAGCTCTCTTTACCAGAAACCAAACATAAATACCATGCAGGCACATCCCTGCAGGCCCTCCTTTTAAACAGATAAAGGCAATCATATCTTTACAGATTTGCTTGTAATCCTGCATCACTAACATAACAGTAGAATTTACAACACAAAGTAGTTCCATTATACTGAACACTTAAGCTGATTACATTATATTTATGATCATGGCCATTTTAACACAAAATATTAACTATGAAAGTCTTTTAAGAAGTAATGAGTATACATGGAGGCACCTGCTTTATGAACATCCAGCTTAATACAGACAATACTTCCTAGCTTAAAGGTTACTTCCTTTAATGGTGTATGAATGTGTCCTCTCTCTGAAATGATTGAACCAGCCTATGCTCAAAGCAGAGTCTTTCTCTTTGTCTCTCTTCATCACAATCACCTTCACCTGCTTAACGTGCAGCTTTTAAACCACTGAAAAGTATTGTGCCTTTTCTTCACTAAACCCAAAACCAAACACGCTGCCATTGAGTCATACCCAGTTTTTAGTGACTCTGTCAGGTCTCTGAGGCTGTAATTATTTACCTCTGGGGTAACTAGTAGATTCAAGCCACTGGTAGATTCAAGCCTATCAGTTAACACTGTTGCCACCAATTCAACTCACTGCCATTAAGTCAGAACCAACTCAGATCTAACCTTCCCACTTTAAATTGGGGGCTATAAATTGCATATCTTTTTCCTTTGGAGTTGTTGGTGGGATTAAGCCACTAAAGACATTTCACCTTTGGGTTAGTAGCACACCACCATACGGACCTATTCTTTTTGCATTAAAATAAGGCTAAATCAGCACTCTGTACACTTGTTCCAACTTAGCTACAAATTGACTTAATGATACTTTAGGGATTGATCTAGTTTGTAACCCAAGGACTCGGGCAAAAGATATTAAGGCATTTATTATACTTAATTATTTTAAAATGTGTACATTTTAAGTATGTATATTGTTTTATTTTCATTTGAATCCAACTTAATGCCTGCCTCCAACCTGTTCGGACAAGAGTTTATCAGTATTTAAAGGATACTTTGGTAGAAAATAAAGATTTATTGGGCTACTTGGTTCTTGAAATAGTTACAAATCTTGGTACTTCATGCTTTTAAAAAAGAGACAAAACTGTTAAAGTTTAAAGCTAACAGTATTACATCAAAGAATCTTAAATGATGCCTACATTGTCTTTTGGATTTGGCAAATAAAGGAGATCACTGGCGCCTGTTGTTAATAGAAGTGTTATCCTATAGGTTTTAGTTTACTATGGATTTAATTCACTTAATTCATTTTAAAATGTAAATCTTAGCCAGATTGGGTTTTGTTTGCTCTTTTGTATTCAGTAAGGCAGCTCTGAGTGGTAAGGAGCTGGGCTGCTAACCCAGAGGCACATCGTTAGAATCTACCTGCTGCCCTATTGCCTCAAAAACCACTGTTGGTCTGCTCCAACTTACCAGTACTAGCAATAGTGAGCAGTAAGCACTTGGGTGTTTGAGAAATGGGGAAGTCTGTGTATTTATCATGATGGTACAGAAGATGCAGATACTGTGACACTATATCGTTTGAAGACTAAATTTGTCTAAATTGGGCCTAGGGTAAATTAGAAGACCGGAAACCCTTGATGGTCTTATTTGGAGATGTCGCCATGCATTATATCCTCTCTGCTGCACAGTGAGTATCTGTTTTATGTGCTTTTCTAATCTTTGGAATTTTTGCTTCTTGGATAGATGTATCTTAAATTCCAACCTGAATGCTGGCAAGTCTTTCCTCAATTAACTATTTTAGATCAGGCAATCTTTCAGGAACTGTTCAACCTTTCTGAAAACCTTAAGCTAGAAATGAGTTGTGGCCTTTGACTTAGCACCTACTGACTTTCACAGTTGTTCCCTGTCAGCTCACCTCCATCATTCTCTTCAATGCTCCTGGTGCACGCGGTCCTCATGGAGGTGTTGGTGACCAGGTCCAAGAACTGCTCTTATCTGCCAACCACCTGAGGGTGTGCAGTACTTTCTCTCCCTGTCAAATAAGCAATACTTGGAATGCTAAGTTCTTGGAAGCACAAGGAACAAACCAAGATAGGTGTGCACAAAATCTACAAGCAGATTTTGTGTCTTCAAACTGAATGACTTCAGTTGTTTTCTCCCACTTGATCTGTAAAGTATGAGTGTTCCTGATAAGTCCTTGCCACCATGGAGTCACACATATGTTGTACATATTTAAAGCTGCTGCATCTCTTTTAGATGCATTTCTTTATTGTTGGTCCTAAAAATAAATGAAAAGATGTAAAACTTAAGTCTTACTAAGTCTTGCTTCCGTTCCCATATATTTAAAACGACTTTCTTTCCTATGGAGGCTGCCATGCTGTTTGTTTTTCTTGCCAAGTTTTTTATTTGTGTTGGGTTTTGATTTGGGTGGGTTTTGGATCCTGATGACTAAATGCATTGCATGTCTTTGCTCGCCACTGTTGTAACTGCTTTTGGGAACTGTTAGTTACTTCCACTGAGCTCACCACATTCACCCCAGGGTACCCCAGCCCCGTTTGTGTGCTGCAACTCACATATTACACCCATCACTAAGTAGAGCCTTGACTCGAGAGATCATTCTATGACTCTTATGTACTAATTTTTAAAACCTCTTGTTAGGGAGCTCTGGTGGCATAGTGGATAGAGAACTGAGCTGTAACTCAAAGGTGGAGCCTCTCTGACAGTTCACATCCACCAGCTGCTCCACAGGAGGTAGATGGGCAAGCTCCTCTCCTGTGATTTAAATCCTGAAAACCTACTGGAGCATCAGCTAGGATACCGTTCTGCCTTCATGGCAGTTACTTTTTTTTTTCTAATGCTGTGACTGATCTTAAATATTTCAGGTCAGGTTTTATCACCAAATAAGTTTAAAAACTTTTTTTCTTATTTAACAGAGCTAAAAATACTAGTTACGTTTGTAGATACAAACTGATTTAAATAAACAGTACATAAAATCGTATTTTTATTACAGTATATCTTATTTTGTTGGTGGTGTAAGGAATGATTTCATGCTCTCCAAGGAATCTCTCTTTAAGTCTTCCCTGGATGTCAACTGATGTCTTTTTGTGTGTGGTTGAACATAAAAACATACACATTATTTTACACAGTCATGTTCAGAGCTTACAGTACCCAATTGTGGCCAGATTGGCTCTGACGCATCGGACCACTCCATTGGGTTTCTCCAACTGTAAATCTTTATGAGAAGGACTCCCATCTTTCTTCAGTAGAGCAAGCTGGTGCATTCAAACTGGTGATCTTTCAGTTAGCTTAATAACTTTTGTTCTTATTGTTGTTGTTTGATGCCATCGAGTTGTAGACGACTCATAGCGACCCTATGAACGAACAGCCTGAGCACTGTTCATACATAGACTTTCCGGAGGCAGGCCATTTCGGAAGTGGATGCCACTCCTGCTTCGAGGCTAATAACTTTACATTATTATTTTTCAAAAAGTGTCTGATGCTCAGAGCTCAAATTTCTCTTGAGGAATGAGATGGCATTGAGCCATATTCCTCATCGATATCTTAGTATTTGTTATTTAATGTTGAGGCACAGGCCACATATACTACATTTAATGTGAATCCTATTGGTTCTCTTGACATGCGGCTGGCTGATCACACTCTTATCTCACCTTACAGAACTGCTGACGGAGGAGGCTTGGTAGAAAAACACTATGTCTTCTTGAAGCGACTCTGTCAGGTCTTGTGTGCGCTGGGCAATCAGCTGTGTGCTTTACTGGTAAGCATTTACTCCCAGGCCATTGGAAGGTGCAATAGAGAGTCCCATTTACATAAAGAGTTACAAAAGCCATTAATTTTAGCCTGATAGGGCATTAGCCTACAGAATATGTCACACGATTCTGAAAAACAGCAAACTCATGATGCATTACACAACATGGGGAAGCCTGGAAGACGTTATGCTGAGTGAAATATCTCAGTCACAAAAAGACAAACACTGCATGACACTGCTGTTATAAGACAGACGTGGAGGGGTGAGGAGAGAATGAGAAAAGAGTGAATAGATAATACACACGGCAGTAGAACAGATGAGGGGAAGATCTGTCTGAAAGAAATAATATAGTTAAGCATTTTAACAGCAATCTGGAACAAGGGGTGCATTGCTTAGTGGGGTGGGGTAGAGAAGGAGGAGAAAAGGTGCAACAATAAATTTTAAAATTGTGTGGCATGATTCTATTGATTAATATTTTTATTTTAATAGTGTTTGAATGATACAAGTTTCTTTTAATAAGACAAGTACTAATTTCAACAAAACGTGTCCATATCTATTATCCCAAAAAGTTACTGTGTTCTTAAGAATTTTCATACTTTTAGAATAGTAGGCTGCTGGGTGCTTCACTCTCTTAAGTCTCATTTAACTATGAAACATGAATTTTGAGTAATCAATCCTTTTTCCAGCATTATCCTAAAACAATTTTTTTAAAAAATGAAAATTTTAGTCACTAACACGGAAAAAATTCTTAATACCCAGTCTTTTTTTTTTATTATTATTAATTTTTATTAGTTTTAATGAACATTTACAGGGATTTTGGATTTTCATTCCTTCATTGCTGCACCATTCTC